TTAGTGTTGCTGCAAGAAGCGACCAGAGCATACAGTGAATAAAGCCTTTGTCAAAGAATCTCCTTTTTCTACCCACTTATCCCTTACTATTTTCTCTCTTGTCCTCCTTCTAACTGGAAGTTTGTTTGTTAAGGAAACTGCTGTTTACTGAGCAAAGGGATTTTAAATCAAGCAAATCAACCCATTAAATATTGTGGGGTTATATGAATAAAAGAATATGATGGCTGTAGGTTGCTACAGGTCAAAGCTGACTCAATGGCAAATAACAAAACAACTAATAATCAAGACTGAGGGACAAGGAGGAAAGAGGCCTTCAGGAAGCTAGAGAGAGCAGAGATCTTACAGATAAATAAGAGATTATTCTAGTTGATACTGCAGCAAGAATTATGTTTCTTTTGAGGCTGGGCTGAATTGGGTTTGTTTTCTTTTTTGGCATTGCTTAAAAGGATGGCCAGGCCTGACTCCCCTGTGTAGTGGCAGGAGAACATTTTACAGTTCCTCTGGGATGGAATTTGGCATTTTTGCTCATAGCAAAGCAAACAGAACACTGCTTGATTCCTAAGATAAGTTAAATGTAAGGAAGTTCACACAAGGGAAACTTCCTTCTGCCTCCACACCCTCATTGTCTCACCTTCTGTTAACCCTAGAAACTTTCTCTGAAGGTCTTGGAGGAGATTTCCTAAACAACACAGGATTCAGCATGAGGTGGGAAGGGAGAGGAGAAGGAAGGGGTGAGAAACTTCCTTCAGTTATCTTAGGTTCTGAGCCAGATTTGGAGTGATTCCCCCCTTCTCCTGTAGACCCTGGAAGCCTCCCCCCACCTTGTCTCATATCAAATTTATCCCATCGCCTTATTCCTCAGAAAAGCCAAGGAGGGTTTTAAATGGGGTGAAGCAATAGGGGAAGCTTTTCTCTCTGCAACTCCATTAAATTAGGCTTATTGTAAAACTCAAGCCAGTGTGGTGTAGTAATTAGTGCACCAAACTGAGATTTGGGAGATCTTGATTCTTGTCCTTACTGAGCCATGAAATCCACTGGATAAATTTGGGCAATTGTTTTCCCTTGACCAAACTGTCATGGGGTTTCGGTATCACAAACAAGATTTCGCTGGCAATGAGAATTAGGTATAATTCAGTCTCTCTCATACTGGCATCTTTCAAACATGTTAAGTACAAGTATGACCAACCCTTGTAAGTATAATAAGTACAAGTATGTATTATCATCCCTTGCCAGTGTACCAAATAAATTTTTGCCTGTGGACGATAGGACTTGTAGTACAATACACTGGACTGAGGAAGATGGGCATAATCCTTCATTAAGCAGACCCCACCTTATCAGATATTGGACCACTGCCCTTAGCAGGTAACAAAATATAAATACCTGAATCAGGGCGGGNGGGGGGGGGGGGTATATGCAAACAGCGAGGCTCAAAGTTCACTGTGACCTTTCCATGGAAATTGAAGATAAGCAGCAGAACAATTTTCAACAGCAGTAGTTAGCAATAACGTCAATCTTCCTCAGTTTGCTGTGATAATGGAACATGTGTAGTGGAAAAAAGATGTTGCTGCTACCTGCACCCTAATCATATAATCTAATTTCCTGATATATTCTTATTCTTATAT